CATTGGTATAAAGACATGGAACACATGTTGAGAAACTACCCATTGGTAGCACTCTAATATTAGATGTGGTAGCACTCTAATATGTCTATATTAGAAGATCACGTGGCCATCTTCTTTTCAGACGCCTCGGAGGGTTATCAGGAATCGAATAGGAAGCAAGGTTAGAGACAAGAGGGTTGGGATGGTTATGAAGTTTATTATGGAAGAAAAGATATCTGGATTGGGCCAAATCTGATACATAAGGAACATTAAGGTCATTATGGATAATTTTATTTGTAACAAAGTAAGGAGCATTGAGGATTTTACGAAGGATTTTGGATTGTAAGGATTGTATGCGAAAGGAATTTGAAGGTTTGGTGGAGCCCCATAGCTCAACTCCGTAAGTCCAAATAGGCCTTATTATAGTCATGTAAATCAGTCTTTTATAATTGATTGGAAGGTTAGAGCGTTTGTCTAGTAAGTGTTGAAGTAGTCGGAAACGTCGAGCGGTTTCTTGTCGTTTCAGTCTGGTATGAGGATTCCAAGTTAGACGTTTGTCCAGATGGAGTCCTAGGTAACGGATTTGTTCAACAGGAATAAGTGAGGTGTTGTTAAAGGATAATCTCGCCTTGTTGTTGTTTTCACTTCTAACGTGTGATCAAAAGCACACACCTTAGTTCTCTTTCTGCATATTTGTGATCTTATCTATCCTGCCCTAATGATGCCTGAATTGCCGAAACGTTGGCAAGTGAACTGTTCACCTATATTTTAGAGACTCATGGCTTTATAGTTTGAATTTTTCCATTTCTGTTCTTATTTTCTTAACGTTTCATGATTTCATTACCACTCACATATTTAATAATTAATATTTTTTTAATAAACAATATATTAAATGTTTACTAAATAAACTACACTAAATAGAATAAATCATTTACCTACTTTACTAGGTGCTTATTTTGCTTTTTGTGATTTATTATAAATTTTAATTCGTTTAGTTTAATCAACAATGCGTTTTTCTTATTTTATACTAAATAACAAATAGTTATATATATATTATAACTTACAAATCCATGCATAACAAAGGCAGAAAATAATAATAGGGTGTATTAAAAAATAAAATGACCGTTTTTTCAAATTCAAGATTTCAAAGAACTGTAAATATTTTAATCCTATTAAATAACCCCTTCAGAGAATTCTCTAAGCCAGTTTAATCACATTTGACTTCTTTAAAAAAAACCTCAGTGTGGTTATTTATTTTAAAGAAGAAACAAGACAGTGTCCTGAAATTCTCTGGGTAGAACCTAGTATCAGCCAGAAACGTTTCATTGAAATCTGTGACCCAATGTCCATGACCTCGCCTTGTAAGTAGTACAATCCTTACTTATTTATAGATTAGAGATATCTATCTTCGAGAGATGACTGTCTACTTTCAAATCTTACTCTGTAAGTAAACCTTCGATACTGGAGTTATATTTTTGGTTTATTATTTTCAATAATGAATCATTGTAATCGAACGAAAAATTCAAAACTTAACTCATTCTCAAAATTTGAGGTTTTATGTTTAAGGATACATAGCATTCGAAAAACGAATAAAACATGTTTTCTCTGTCCGCATTCCGCCGTCCGTCTTCCATTTTCTCCTAAACTACTGGATCAATTTTTTTATATCACCCGAGGATGATCCTCCTTCATCGACATTACTATCCGCCTTTTCCTTTCAAGATGGCGGCCGAAAAACCTGCGTTGCTATAGACTGTAGTGCCTAAAGGAATGTACTGATCTCAATGAAGCTTGGCTAAAGTCTTCTTCTCGATGCCATCAAATTTATCTACATAACTTCAAAAATATCTACAACTTACACACTACTATATACATACTAAAAGAAGCTGGAAAAAAAGTTACGAGAGATGGTAAAGTTAGATTCCGAATAACTCAAAAAGTATACACTTTTTTGTTGATATTGTTATTTTTAAGGTTATTTAAAAGTTTACGAAATTTTCTTTAAAAAACCGTTAAAATCGAACAATGAAGAGCAAAGATATGGTCTCTAGATGTTTTTTATATGTTCTACCGAAAAGGTTATATCCTTTGTTTTGGTTTTTGATTTTTGAAAGTGTTACTGTATGAAAGTAATGCAATTATTTTTTTTATGATATTGCTAATGATGAAAAAAAAAATGTTTAGGCCAATAATTGGAATCACCTTTTATTTATTTTTCTTTGTCACTAGGTAAAGTATCCTGCTGTCTAATACTTTACTACTTTAATACTTTACCAGTATTAATTAAATACTTTAGATGTATAATTGTTTGGAAATAATAAACCATTGTGAAATAATTAGCAGCGTAAATAGTTGTTACGAGGTTTTCATTGTCTAGTGCCGATATACAAAATACGGTTTTCAGTTATTTCTGTGGTCTTAATGGAATTTTTCCATTGATAGATATGAAATTTATATATGTGTTTTGTAAAGTTTAGCTCCGTTAAAAATACACTTCAAAAACATTTTACAAAAGCCTACATTTTCCATCAAATAATTTCTAATCGATTATACAACGGTAGGTGAAGGTGTTGTAATGCGCTCTCCAGAATTTTAAGATAAGAACGCTTAAAGCGATGTATGACTCAGTTTCTTATTATCATGATATTGTTCTGACGAAATCTAAAATTTACAACCTGTAAGTTGTAGGTACGTGTACAAGTTGAACCTTGGCAAGATAAGACAAGGTGGCTTTGAACTTTGATATCTGGTCATTATCATATTTTGATATGGTTCAATGCAATACCTTACTGGCTACACCTCGGCCACACTCCCTGAAAAAAACTGGGATAGTTTAAATCACTCGAAAGTTAAAATTCTTACATTTTATGTTGCTATTGCTGGTTTAATACAAGATGAATCACGTAATTAAGTGTTAATTTCATTAAGAATATGCACATGATGTTGGCCGATATTTTTAAATCAGTTTCAAATTAGGAGATATATATATATATATATATATATATATATATATATATATATATATATATATATATATTATATTGTTTTTCTTATTTTATTGTTTCCTGCACTATTTAGTATTTTTTACACAGTTTATGCAGCTTACATTCCAACTCATCCTTTACCACATATCATATCCTTACCATATGCTGATGACACATGTGCGTTATCAATTGTTATTATTGCTTCTCAAATTCAACACTATATCATTTACTTGACAAACGCTCTGAACTTCCAATATTCTTAAAAAAAAACTCATATATACTACCATCATCAGGCCCATTTAGACATATGGAATTGAGCTTTTAATCATCGAATTCTTCCTGTATCCAATGGAAATCTTTCTTCTTCTTTTTCTTCTTTCTCCTTGTGCCTTTCAGCGTGGAGGTGGAAATCTTTCTTACAATCCAAAATCCTAGATACTCCATTTTTATGTCACAAATTAAAATTACCTATAAAGACCTTAACATTACTCTTGTTAAAGACTTGGCAAGAACTAGATATTCCTCTTGTAAGTCTAATCTCTTTGTTCACCCCAATCCTTTGGTTCATAATCTTTTATCCAATGCAATTCCTGAAAACCCTCCCAGACCTCTGAAAAGAAGATGGTCAAGAGATCTCCTAAATTTATTTTTTATGTATCTGGTATCAACATAAAGGTCGTGGCAAGAATTTAATAATTGGCAGAAAATATAATCCTCGACTTCCTGGGATTTATCCTCCACCATGTGCATGGGGGTAGATAGGAGGGAGAGAGTTTATTCATGGGGGAGATATGCATTTGTATGCGTGTGTTACAACATTTTTATATTATTTATTGAACACGTCCACTGTATTTTATGAATTAAGTTAGGAAGAGAGAGGAGGGAATATGAGAATGAATAAGAGAAATTTATAAGCGGAGAGAAGGAAAAGAAATGGATGTGGAATCGTAATGAATGAAAGAAATTGTCAAAAAATTAAAAATTAAAATATAATGATAAAAAAAAAATACGCATATATGTATATATATAAAATGTTGTATACTATGCTCATATATGTTGTCAATACTGTATATTTGTATATTATCATATAATGGTGCTGCCCAATTACATTGGGTTGCTAAAAACAAAGCATACTTATTAATCACTACAGACAATTTTTAAAATAATATATAATTATATAGGATTTACAATAATTTTTAATTTTAATTTAATAGATAAATTTAAAAAATTATCTATAATGATTAATAAGTATGTTGTAGTAAGTATTTATAGCAACCCAATATAATTGGGCAGCATTCTTTTATGAAAATAAAGTGATTATCTCTATTGGTTATTTTTTTAACATCAAAAATCAATGCTTTTTCTTTTCTTACTTCTGTTCTTTTTTCTTTTCTCCAGATTTTGTTTTTTCATTCTATGTAATTATATATATATATATATATATATATATATATATATATATATATATATATATATATATATATATATATATATATATATAATTACATAGTAATATATATATATACATACATATATTTTTTTTTCTCCTATACAACTACACTACACAACTACAAATATTATTGAAAAGACTTTATTTCTATTTTTTTTTTATATTATTAGTTAAATTACTGTATATATTGTTAGAATTTGTACTTAGTTAGTCTTTGGCAAGATATGTATTTTTTTTTTATTTTGTTCATTATTGTGATTCTGAGGGGACTGTGTCGCAGAATAAAGTTTCTTTTTCTATTCTATTCTAAATTAATCTGATCATGCTATATACTCTCAAAGCAGATTTACTTGTTGTATATATATTTATATATACAGCTGTAAATTTGAATAAAAAAAAACTGTGGTAATCCTAACAGGTCATACAATCTACGTGTTTGTATTATCAAGAACGTCTTGTATTTTTTTTTAATTTACTCTAAGGCCGATTTTATCTGATTTTCATATCAGTCTTATCTGCTTCCAATCTTAGCTATTTAAACTACATATTGCATGCAAATATATATATATATTTTTTTTATATTTGTTCTATGTTCTCTCATCCGTTTTCTTTTCAAGCGTTGATATGTTTCCCGTCTGTTTCCATGCCTGAACGCAGTAGCCTGCTCGGCGTACGGGGGCCACTACTACAACGCAGACGGGACCCCCCACGACCCCTACCACGACCTCCACCTGCCGCACTACCCGCCGCTCTACCCCACCTACGCCGCCGTCCCGAGGACCGGCTTCAGCTGCGAGCAGAGGGAATGGGGCTACCACGCCGATGAGGCCACCGGCTGTCAGGTAACTAACTCTTATTGGAGTCAATAGCGATCTAATACACAATCTGGGTATGCTGAGTGCAGAAACTATGTTATTATACGAATATGCCCAAAAGAAAGTTAAAGGTACTCTTTTGCTGTTACTTCCCACCGTATCGATTGCTGCAGTTGAGCATTGCTTTAGTGAAATAGAAAGGAGCACATTTTGCTGCAACTGCTGTGCAGTTTATGTATAACGTTCATAGTAGTGTTGCCCAAATGCGAGAACGAGACGAGTCTTGGTCTTGCGCAAGAGTCTCGCAACGGTATTGCAGTTACCGGTACTTATTTAATAGCGGGTAGTGTCAAAACCTCCCTTCTTATCTAATCTCATTTCACATAGCTCCCTTATCTCATCTAACCTAACTTATTCCCTTGTTTACTTTTAGTTCCTTGTGTAAGCTGTGAGTTAATTTTATTTAATTATGGATGTTCTCACATTGTGGGAATTGCCTTCTTCAGAAGAAGAGGTAATAAAATATTTCCATGAAGCCGGGATATTTGCAAAGGTCAAATATTGTGATGAAGGTCATCAAATGAAGTTCGACGGTAAGTTTTCGTAATGTTTTTTAATTATACATTTATAATGTTTTGGTCTATTTTAATATATATGTTGCAAAATGAAAGTATTTTTTTATTATTACATTTGTTTTTGTTTATGTTCAAAATTTCAATAATATCAATAGAATACACTAAATATGAATACGAAGATATAATACAATAAATATGAATACGAAGAGCTTATCAGTGTTAAGATTATAAACATTGGCAGATAGCAGTCGGACGCTACCCGCTATTAAATAAGTACCCAGTTACCTTTTAGCTTAGTACTGTAGAAATATCACTGTATTTTTTTGTTTCAGATAAGGGAAACTTAACTAAGCCTGAATGAAAAAATAGAAGAGTTAAATGCAAAAGTATATTGGTTACATTAATTCTTTACATATAGTATCTGAAATTGTCAAGCATTAGTAAGTATTTTGCCGCTAATTTTTATTTAAAAAATCGTTTGTTTATTACCAGTCTTTGTCTTGGTCTTGCAACAGTGAGACGGTCTTAGTCTTTTTCTTGCAAAGACCAAGGCTGATTTTGGGCGACACTAGTCCATAAGACATACCTACATGCTTAAACTCTGATCGTCCGCCATTTTGTAACAACGTGACGGATGGTAAGGTCAAATTGTGATGATGTTCCTGTGATGAAATGTGTTCTGGTTAACAACTATGAAAACAAAAAAAAAAATGACCTGAAAAAGTCATTTTATTATTATTTTTTTTTTTTGGACTCTGTGCATTTTGAAAACAATTTATTTATTTATTATTAGTTACACATATTTCTGGCTCACAATAAATTTGCCATCTACCTCGGTATTCAGCAAATATCAAATATCAAGAAGAATAAATGATAACATAAAAAAAAAGAATAGTAGTAATAACAAAACAAAAAACAGCATTAAAATAACACATACATAATAACACAGAAAAAAAGATAATACAGCAAGTAGCTCAATGCAATAAGTCTCTTTGCCAGCACCTCAGCAGTCTTCTGGGCGGATTATATGAATCTGTAGCAGTCGATAAAGCTTGAGTAAATAGATTTGAAAGGTGAGTGTGTAACGTAAGGTTTGAAACATAAAAGGGTGCGTCTACAATTTTCCGAAGGACTTTTGACTGGTATGACTGGATAATTTTTATATTTGATTTCCTTGCTGTTCCCCAGAGTTCGATTCCAAATGTCCAAAGTGGTTTAATGAGGAAGAAAACAAATTTTGATAATTCCGTTATTTTATTTATTCATTGCTGCTATTTAACGTCATTTCGACTGCCATGGTCATTAGCGACGATCTTTCTTGTTAAATATGATTTATTAATTTTGTTTCTTTAATAAACTTCAGGGTTTTTTCAATTTCCTTTTGTTCTTTGTACGGAATGATGTCTTCGTTGTTAAGTTCTACTCGTTGTTTACTGTATTTTTTACATTGAAATATATGTTCTACAGCCAGATTAGTATTGTCACAAATTTGACATGTTGGTCGATGTAAGCCAAGAAGTAAATGGAGATGTGTTAGCTTGGTGTGTCCAATTCTCAGCCTGCTAGTGATGGAACATTCTTTTGATGTGACACATTTTGGAAGCAACCAAGCTTGGTTATTTTCTTTGCACACACGGACTTGATTAGGTGGCAGGCTATTGTTCATTTCAGGTTTTATTAACTTCGCTTATAATTTCTCTTTTCTATTCATTAATAAATGTCGATCCTAAAAAGTGAGAATCAGGACTTCTGGCTGCTTCCATTGCTCCTTCGTCACCTTGTTCATTTCCTGTAATACCAATATGAGTAGACATCCATAACATTGTTATTTCTTGACCATTTTGATGGAGTTTCGAGTTCATTAGTTGAATTTGTCGGAGTAGTATGTTCTTGTCTATATATCTATTCCTTTAATAACGGATATAGAGTTGGTACAATAACTGATTTTTTGATATTGTTATTGAATACATATTCCATTGCTTTCATAATAGTCCACGTTTCGCTAGTGTAAATAGAATTACTGATATTCAGTTTCCAAATGTTTATACTTCTTTGGGTCACTATGCAACATCCCACACCTTTTTTTGATTTCGATCCATCAGTGAAAATTATGTCATGATTAGAAAACAATTTATTCATTAAACCTATATCTAATTTATTCTAGGAAAGTGCTATTTGGAATAGTTTTTACTCCTATTTCAATTCTAATTGATGGAATTCTCCAAATATGGAGAATCTTCTATTAACTCTGGTATAATTTCAGTAAGTCTTGTAATTTCAGGGTCCGTTATTATAAATATGATAATTTAAAAAAGATAAAGCAAACAAAAATGCTGGCATAGGTTATATAACTGACATCACTAGTCAACTTTTATTCTAAAAATTATATTTTTATCATCCTCTTGGGCGATTGAAAGAACCAGTATTATTCAAGGTCGGTTATCGACATTTTAAATTTGATAGTTTGTAAAATAGTGCGTCAAAATTTATTTTAAATAGAATCCCCACCAGTTCTTGAAACCTCGAAAAATATATGAATCGATTACATTATCACCAGAGAATCGGAATTGTTGAACTAAACAACAACACGATTTAAAATGGGACACAAACAAACTACGGATTCGCTAATTGTAACCTTTTTTAACCTTACCTATATCAGTTAATCTTATTATAAGTTATGTTTACTTTATACCCATATTTATTTCTGTTTTGAGCTTCAAAAATTCTGTTGACGGTTATTTCCGAATTTTATTGTGTACCTTTCATGTGATTTTTTACCTTCCAAGATAGTAAACCTTCCGCTATATTACAACAGACCGTTCCTAAATCCAGCTGAAATCGCTGTTCATCGCTGCTGGATAGAGATTCATGATTCTATCAATGATTTGAGATATCGCCCATCCCCGTCAGATGGATTTGACTGCAAACACATACTCGAAACCAATTTCGTTCCGCGATGTTAAAAGATAGTCGTCGACTAGATCGGTCTGGAGGCGTTTCGTGGTGTATTTCACCAATTTCTTGTAGATAGCTAAAGTCGTATTGAAGTTATAACATTTCTTGTGATTTTCGCAACAAATCATGTGAGGGACCCAAACATTAAGCCTGGAAACATAGCTTGTGCAAATGGTTTTCTACGCCTGTGTGCGACACATTTAGGGCCATACCAACCTCTCGCACTGATTGGGTGGGATTTTGATCAACAATGGTCTTAACATTGCTCGTTTCAATTTCATGTGGGCGACTAGACTGATGAGCATCATTGATGTCAAAATTTCCAGAATGAAATGTGGCTACCAAATTTTGATAGGTGTGTTTGGTTAAGGCATCGTCCCAATAAACACTGCAAATTTTTCTATGAACTTCTGCAGCACGCTGGCCTTTTTTTAAATAATACAACAAAATACGCCAATACTAAATGATATTTTCTTCCATATTTACAGTGCAATAGCAAACGCAATACTAACCTTGTTTCAACAAGAGTTAACAGATATTATTTTTGACATATTACAAACAGGATAAACAATCCACCTTAGGGATTAATTCATCAGATAAAAAGTGTATCATGGTGACATAAAAATAAACAGAAAAACCGATAGGACTTTCTGCCAACCCAATAATTAACGTAGGTCGAATACAATAAAATATATATAATATTTAATATAGTATTATATATTGACCGCACCTCCGACCCAACTCCTCCTCAAATTATTTTTGTTGAATAAATTCCGAATCGAGTTAAGAGAAAAATATTTTAAGATAAAAGGATTTATTAGCCAGAGGTGGGGAGTATGGAAGCAAAGATAAAATACAAGAAGAACTGGATGGTCAAACTTGGCCTTTTACCAACTGACACAGATTTCAGAGCTGGGCGCCATTTATGAAACTGGTTGACGTAACAAGCCACCTACTGCCCGCACCTCCGCGCTCCCGATATTATACCTTAATATCATACAATTTTAATACAAGTCTATATTATTTAATCACGAAGCAAACAACCAAATATATAGTACTAAGAAAACATATAGTTAATTTTCAAAATTGTTATTATTATCTCACCATAACTCATGTCAGTGTCGAACCTTGTACACATATACATATCCCGCGGTATATATCACATAGTCTGGAACAGACCCCTTTTTATTAAAATTAACACCCGTAAAAAACGTCGTGGATGGTTTTATCCTATTGTAACATAAAACTTTTTTGTTTATAAAAATTCTCGGAAATGGGCTGTTTTAAATCTGACTATCAGTAAACTTTGTCTTTTTAATGAAGTGCTAAAAACTCATGAATACTTGTGTTGCAAAAATGTGAGACCAAGACTTGTCTTGGCCTTGCACACTCAGTCTTGTTCTTGCACAAGAGTCTAGCAACAGTCTTGCAGTCTATTTTAGCCTATTATTATAGACATGTGACAGTTATTTTTCAGACAGGGAAAACCTAACTAATCTCGAATGAAAAATTGGAAGAGTTAAATATAATATAAATATATTGATTATACCAATGTTTTAAATTTAGTAACTAAAATTGTAAAGTATTAGTAACTATTTTGCCTAGACTTTTATTCACAAAAACTATTTTTTTTACCAGTCTCGGTTTTGATATTGCAAAGTACAAGACCGATTTTGGGCAAAACTAATGAATACCCCTTTGCTTTAGAATTGAATCGTAAGATAATTTGATCACAAAAAAATAAAATAGATAGGCTATAAAAATATTAGACCGTTCTGCGTGACCTTCACCTCCAACATGTCAAAATAACAAAGTTATTTAGACCACTTGCCCCAATATTTTGGCTGGCCTCCTTTTTTTCTCGATTTTGTGATCAAATCATCTTAAGATTCAAGTGGAAAGCAAATGGGTATTCATGAACTACTAGTAAAGTTTTCGAGATAATGTAAGGTAAAAGATTCGCAGCCATACTACAATCTTACGTTTATCATTGTACGGCATGGGACACATGGCTCATTTCGTCGATTTGACGTCCCTATGATCGAGAGAGGAGGAATCCTATATATTATTTCTAAAAGGTGTTTTTTTTTTTGTCGGTACGCTATAACTTCGTCAATTCTTCATCAAATCCAATGATTTACCACTCCTTTTGAAGATATTCTTCTCCTTCACATGCGAAAAATAGTTCCATTCCTCCGAAATTTCTGGAAAAAAGTTATGGAGGAAAAGAATCTTTATTTGCGAATATCTCAAGAAGTATGCATTTTTTTCTGGATTGTACCCATGATAATTAGAAATATTACAATATTACCTACAAAAAAAAAAAAAATCGGACATTAGTTTTAGTATACTTAATAATGTCTTCTTGTTTAAAGATATAGCATTTAGCAGTAGAATAGTCTACTACACTTTTTTTTCTGGCAGATATATTAATTTTATTATTTCTTAAAGACATTTAGTTGTTTTTACATTTTATTTTTTTTTAATAATTTAGAAAATCCCATGATCGGGGAATTATTTTCCCTTTATTACTTTTATTATCTTTTAAAATAGTGTTTAAAAATAGGTCCTGGCAAAGAAATTTATACAAATATTTTGGTCTATTATGTTTAATGGAATATTGTAATCGACCAAGGAAAAAATATTAATTCCTTCCTTATATAATACATACGAACTACTTTCGATATTGTTTTGCTATTTTTTCAGTAAACAAAATGTTTTGCGAATTATTCGCACGGGCCAACTAGTTTATATTATTTATCAAAAGTATTTTTTTATCAGTACACCATCCCTTCGTTAATTCTTCAAAAAATTACAAGATTGAGCCATTTTGGAGGTTTCTTTCTCCTTCAGGTGGGAAAAATAGGCACACTTTTCTCCAAAATTTCAGGAGAAATTGTTATGAGGAAGAAAACAACTTTATTTCGAAGTACTCAAGAAGTATAAACTCTTTTGTTCATTACACCCATGTTTATTTAAAGTATTACTAAATTCCCTTCAAAACGAAAAAAAAAACATGGAATCGTATTATTATTAGCAAATTATTATCGTATTATTATACATCTTGTTGAAATCTGTAAACATTTGGGTCCTTTTTTTTCTTATCCTCCATTTTATTTTTCGACTATTACAATGTGTATATATGCAATATATACATATATATCTTCTTGCTTTGTCGGTTACACTGCCCTATGGCATTTTTATATATCATTACATATTGGTTCAAAACATGAATGAAGTTTTAAATTAGTTTTTATTTCTTCGGTCAATTATAGTCAACGAAAAAATAAGAATTGATTTCTCCATCTTATACGTTGCATTATTTTTTTTTTCCTTATTAATTTGTTATTTGATCAAGGACCATTACACTATGCGAATTATTCGCAAATTCCAACTAGTAATTATTATGACGGTAGCATTGAAATGTCCCTGAAAGTCGAAATCTAAGGTGATAGGGATAAATTTCTCTTTCAGTGAACTCCATCAGAACCGCGACCGACTCAACAATAGAATCAATCTACAGGAGCTGCTTCAACACTCATCCAATCATGTTCAAGTCCTTCCGTCGGATATCCTTTGACTTCAGATGATTAATAGGTTCAGTGATCAAGGACCCATTGTCTTATCCTGTCGTTGGCTACACAATGCACTTCATCACGGATGGTATACGCTTCAGGTACTCTTCGAAACGTCTAATCAGTAGTTGAGAAGAATGACTCATGAGGAGAAAAAATATAGGAAAAGTACTACTTTTAGTTTTACATTTCTTATGTTTTCTTCTTATACATGCTTATATTTAGTAGCTGTGTATTTATTATAATTTATAAATGGATTGTTTAAGTATTTAGCTTCTTTTTTTTTCAGTCAACGCCTTCCTCTCGCCTTTTTTCGTTTGAAAGTTCCCTCCTCTCCCCCCGCACCGTTCTCCGTTAAAAGGCACCCGGAAGCGAACTCGTAATTAATTTATCAAGTAATCTTCGGTTTATAAGGTTATGTGAATTTCAAAAAAATACTACTAGACTAATAGTCCGTGGTACAGACTCCTTTTTATCGAAATATTAATATCCGCCTGAAATTTCGTAGTTTCATCTCATCGTCATCTACAACTATTTTATTTAGGAAAACTCTTGGAATTGGGGCGTTTTCAATCTGGAGGGCGGAAAACTTTGTTTATCACGTTATAACTTTGTTATAACTTGATAATCAAATTATCAAGATAATTTTATCACAATAAGATTGGGGCATTTTCAGTTTGGAGGAGAGGGCAACTTTGTTTATTTAATTGGGTACTAAAAACTCGTAAATCCCCATTCGCTTTATACTTGGATCGTAAGATAATTTGATCACAAAATCGAGAAAAAGGGTGACCTTCTAAAATATTGAGCGGTTTCGCGTGACCTACACTCCCAAATTTTCAAAATAATGAGGTTGCATAGGACAAATGGCCCAATATTTTTGTAGGCCACCTTTTTTATCGATTTTGTGATGAAATTATCTTACGATCCAAGTAGAAAGCGAATGGGGATTTACGTGTTTTTAGTAGCCTAATTAAATAAACAAAGTTCTCCCCCCCCCCTCCCTCCCTCCTAAAAACTGAAAATGCCCCAATTCCAAGAGTTTTCGTAAATAAAATAGTGATATGTTACGATGAGATGAAACTATTTACGAAGTTTCAGGTGGATGTTAATAATTAGATAAAAATGGGTCTGTATTATATCAATTATTTTTTACTATTATATCAATTATTTTTTACTATTATATCAAATATTTTTTACTATTATATCAAAATGTTTTTTAAGTTCCAGACATATATATATATATATATATATATTTATGTATATATGTATATATATATACAGGGTGTTTCAGAGTTAAGTGGCCAAACTTCAAAAATGAGCTAAGGATCTTAAAACAAGAGAAAAAATTCCTCTGAAGGTATGTCCGCAAACGCTTTGTTCAGGAGATATTCACACCTAAAGATTTTCGTTGTTATGAATTATTTACTTTATTTGAAATAAATAAAACCAATTTATTTGTTCTAACTACTTTATTAATTGGTCCGTATCAATGACCTTAACTCCTTACGAAGAATGATGATTGAATCTTGTGAAACAATAACACATATTCAGTGCCATTTTGCCACTGCGGCAGTTGAAGAAAGATGCCGAGCCTGTCTTAATGCTCAAGGAAATCACATTGAACAAAATTTAATGTTTACGATTAATTAATAAAGTACTTGGAACAAATAAATAAGTTTTATTCACTTAATATAATTTAAATAATTCATAACAATGAAAATCATTAGGTG